ACAAATAAACAGATCATGTTTAATGTGACTTCAACAATATATTCTTTTAGAAAATTCTAAGACGATTTGTTTTTGAACAAATGATTCCTTTTAACTTGCTTTAATTGTGACTCAAAAATATTGGTGATATTATCTGTACTCACGAAATTTTGAAGGTGAGACGAATTTGAAAGATTTCTAATGATATACTGTATAATTATATAATCACAGTTAATAATATGTATTCAAAAAAAAATTTAAAAGAATATAATAAAGTAATATTTACTTATAACCATCTAAGAAATCAAGTACAATTTGGATACATCTATCATACAATTATACCCTCCATGTTGAGAACCATCTGCAACCTTTCTTCTTTGCATTACTAGTATTAATATCAGCAATTCTGAGATGTCTTGCACATTCCTTAGCTAATGCTAAGATCAGTTCCAGTGTTGGCTTACGAATACAGAGAAAAAGAACCTTTGATTTATTAATGAATAAGGATGCAAGTTGAGTCTTAAAGAATATATAATTGGAGAAATATTTTATTAATTGTAATATTATTTCATATTCAGCAAATAAAGTACCTTAATATTTGAAACACTCACATTATTCAGAGATGTGTTATTATGGATTTGATTAGTGATACGTTATTATTTATCATAGATGAAGTAGTTATATTACCAAAAGCCATAATAGATTGCAAATGCATATATAATGTATATCTTGTATTTGGTAAAAGTGTGCCTGATTTCATCGCTTGAGCAAATGCAGTAAATATTAGTGCTAAATTATTAAAATTGATACAATCGATAGATGTTGTAGATGTCATATTTTATTCATCTGTAGAAGAAACTGATTATGGTGCCATATATGCCATAGATGCCTTATTTTGTTCATTCATAGAAAAGACTGATTGTGGTATAGTATATGCTATAGATATCATATTTTGTTTATCTGTAGAAGAGACCGATCGTGTTGTAGTATTAGTGTTATTAATCAATTCCAATTCATAAATATTGGCGAATAATGGTTTTACTTAAGACATAGAGATTTTACGTAAAGGTAATTCCTGGTCATGTTCTTTAGTGGATTCTATAAAGTTCTGTTATATCAATTTATACTATAATTTGCAAAACTCACATAAACTAATGTTATTATACTTTTTTCATCATTCAGCTTTACATATTTATTTAGCAAAATTAAAGAATCAAAAAAACCTGTATTTGAAATATCATTGTTAAGATCGCCAAATTCACATAGATTCTTTTTTGCTGTAAATTATCACTATTCATTAATTCTCTTATTGTATAAATTGTTGAATCATTCTCACTATTATAATATACCTATTCTTTTTCTGAGTTTATGATTTTGGCTTAAACACTTCTTCCAAATTAATTTCTTTGATAGTTGTATTCTCTAAATTAGCGTCTTCAATAATCATGCTAAATTTCAAAACTGTTGTAAATATAGTTGAAGAGTTTTTACCAGTTTTAAAATCAAGTTTAGATCTAGTAGCCCTCATTTTAGGATGTTTTAGAACAGATTTTTTTTATAAGGCATATTAAAAGAAAAAAAATAAGAAAATAAAATAAAATTAAAAAAAAAATAAAGTTAAAAAATGTACTATATATATATATATATATTATCACATGTAATTATATAATATGGCGTCAATTCTTAGTAGATCATCCTATAATATACAAGCCAATTTTATAAGCTTAATTTAGTCAAACTGAATTTAAGCTCAATTTAGTGATGATAATTAACGCCAAATATAAGTTTTTTAGTTAATAATGTCAAGAAAAAATAATAAGTTCACTAAACTTCTTTCTTAAATTTTTAATTTTCTTTTTAATATGAATCTAAAGCAGACTAGAGCTGATTGCAAACAATATCAAGAATCTGATTTTTATTTGCGTAAATCTAAATGCACTTGTATAAAAAGTTCTACAAATTTAAAACTCGATAGTATTATTTAGGTAATATAACCTCTTCTTTTACAAATACCAAAGTTGATACTATGAACTATATATTCGAAGAAAAGTGAGCTTCATCATCACAGATACATCTAAATAATGATTTCTCTCCAAATGATTTTTCTCCAAATGAATATGATGACTTCTCTCCAAACAACTTTTCTCCAAATGACGACTTCTCTTCAAACAACTTCTATTCAAATGATTTTTCTCCAAATGATTACCAATTCTCCATAAATGATAAATCATATAATGACAGTTCTAGCGATAATCAAGATACTGATGAAAAGTCTATTAGAAGAGTATGATGGTGATAAGAAACATAATCATTATACTGGAAATACTGAATCATATTTTCCAAATCTTACTAAATTTCTAATATTTTTATGGATTACAAAATATCAAATAGGCTTCGAAGTAGTGTTCCGCATGGATTCAGATTAGATCCGTCAAATTTGGATCAGATTCAGATTCAGATTCAGATCAGATTTGATCTGTCAGATTCAGATTTGGATTCGGATTTGATCCGTCGGATTCGGATTCAGATCTGATCTGTCAGATTCAGATTCAGATTCAGATCCTAAATTGGTTATCAAATGTTAAATTGATAATCTTTTTTTGCCTTTGTAAAGCTTCTTTCTTCAGAACTGAACCGAAGAAAGCAAGCTTTACCAACTTCGGCTGTAAGTAAGAATTTTTTTAATATTTTTTTTTAATATATATTTTTTTTAATGTTTAATTTATTTAGGTTTCATGTTTAATTAATTGAGTGAGTAGTGAGGTGTGGATAGTGGAGAGCAGTGGGAAGCAGTGGAGGGTAGTAGGTGGTGGGGACGGTGGAGGACAATGGGTGGTGAGAACAGTGAAAAGCAGTAAAGGCAGTGGAAGGAAATGAAAAACGGTGGGTAGTGGGTGAAATGAAAGGGGGAATTGCTGTGTATAAATTGGGGATTATTTATTAATATTTACTTTTTATATTTCAGAATCGGTTGGAATTTTGGCATTATTTGTTGTTACTTTTCGCATATAATCCAAAGCCTTCTCTAAGACTCCACATACTAAGCGATCGATTTTAGCTTTTAGAAATCTTTCTTACTCGGGTTCCTAATTGGATTCGGCTAGTTTTGTTAAGAGTTCATTTGGTTATTAGTGACTGTATCGGTAAGTTTTTTAATTTATTTTTTTTATTTATTTATTTATTTATTTTTTTAATTTATTTAATATTAATTAGTGGTTTTGTAATAAAAGGTTAGTTAGGATTAATTTTTTTTTATTTAAATTTAATATTTAATTTTTAATTTTTTTTTGGTAGATTATTACTTACGCTTGTGGCTGCTATGTATGTTAAATTAATATAATTTAATTTTTATTTTATTGATTTAATTAATTTTTTTTTTATTAATTTAATTTAATTTTTTTTTTTTAAAAAATTGTAGCTTTTTTGATAAATAAAATTGTTACGCCAAAAAATTGGCAGCTACTGGTAAGCAGTGTGTAAAATTCATGTGCACAATGTGCACATGTGCACATTAAATTTTTGTATGCACATATTACACAGCATAAAATGTGCACAAATAATTACTAAAATAGATAAATTATATATAA